GTCTCAATATTTTGGTATACTCAAGTCATTTGAGGTAAAGTAAGGTTGTAGTTAATATGCAGTCATGGTTGTCTTACATAAGATGCAGTTAAAATATTTTCCATTTTCCTCAATTGAGCATGAGCAATAGAGCTTTCCACAATTCTTAAGATTCTTGGGTCCCCATAAAACCCTATCCTTTTCTCAGATAACTTCAATCCCCTTTTCACTGCAACATCTTAAATAGTTATAGATTACTCAATGTGTACTATGTAGCTATCTCATCAATATAAATTCTTCTGGAAAAATAAATATAACATTGTCAACTGCCTCTTAAAGATCTAGTGATCTTTTAACCATGTTATAATGCTGTTATCTAATCAAAAACATACCTGGAGTTGTGTTTTGCAACTTTTTATTCTCCATCCACATCTCCAAAGTGCAAAATACTTGAAATGTGTGAACCCAAACTCAAGTATATTTTTGACAAGGAAACAACATTATGACACAGATCAGAAAATATTGTGGTATGTGCTTTTAAACATTGCTGGCCACACTTCTGCATTTGGGTCCCTCTCATTGATACATATGGCAGTTAATTACAATTAGGTTAGGGAAGGTTAGCTGAGGCTATGTGTCAAATTATAACTCCATGTTGTAGTACTCTAAAATAGCAAAAGTTAACTGTCTGTAAGTTTTAATCACTCTGGAAGGTTCCCAGAGAAATTTCAAATGCTAACATCTGTCCAAATTCCTGTTTGGCATTATGTGCACATGCGCTGACATTTGTTCTGGTTATGCTTGAGTCTTAACTTCATCGCCCCCTGGATATCAAACAAGAAATTAATGTTTTTTTGCCAGGTACACTTGACAAAAAACATCTGTTCCAACTTTGACTTGTGGCGAGGCTCACTGGGCTGTGGATGCAGAAACTGTATCCATTGGAAGTAACAGTGTTTTTAAGAGCGCTCCGTTTCACATTTGCATCTTATTTGAGTGTTCTAAATCACCTACCACACTGACTGCTCAGATGAACCACAGCCGAGGGGCAACAATAAAACTATTTTGAGGTACTTTTGCGGCTTGTCATTAATTTTTTTTTTTTTTTTTTTTTTTACATGCAATCATTTAAAAGGTAGTTTGCACCCACACAGATTTGAATAGAGTCATTTAAATTCCTATTAAAGATGTGATTGGTCTAATGGCGGCTTACCTTTTCCATTTACCACCTACACACATGCCTCTGTAATTGTTTTTGAGTTTTTGTGGCATGCTCTCATTGTTTCCTTTGAGGTTATTGTAACACTGTGAGTTAAGGTCACCCACCAACTGGAGGCTAAGCAGTTCAAACCTCACCTGAGCTCATACTGCTGTTATGTTCTTTTACTTTCTTTGCTCCAGACTGCCAGGTGGGCATGTGGTAACATAAAGTCCCATTAAAATAACACCTGCTTACTGAAGAAGGCCTGTGCAATAGACCAAATATATCACAATAGATCATATGTCGTATACACCTATCTTCCCATATTGTCTTTAAGAAGTAACTGCTACTGTTTCTTCTGGGAGTTGACACTAAAATGTGATTGGTTAAGTCCACCTGTCACTCATTCAGAGCAAAATGAAGGCTGACCAATTTTCACAGCACTTATTCAATGCTCAGAGGCTTCACATTGCATTATTTTTTCACTCCACACAGTGGTGGTATTGTAGCCACAGCTGCACTGGGGCAGACTGGCAGAAGCAACGTTGGTGGTCAACCACCAACACTGACGCATACATCACATTCGTACTAGGCAAGGTGACTGAAGTGTCTTGCCTAAGGACTCAATGACAGCATCCACTTTGTCCTCTGCTGCCCCACTGTGGCACCTGGTATTCTGAGCGGTCTCCCCTCCAAGAACAGGCCCAGCCTTGCTTAGTTTAGGAGGTCGTATGAGATTGGGCATGGTACAGCAAAGATGTGTGTGCCTGCAAAGATCTTCATTACAAAGCTCATCACAATACGAATCATAATATGAATCACTATATGCAAGGTAAATAAATAAATAAATACAGAAATTGGCCCAGTGCTCAAATCACAAGTTTTAAATTTTTAACCAATCTGTAATAGCACTATATCTGATCTGGCTTAATCTTAACTAGTTCACACTACATACATATAAATACTCATTACAGCTCGACTCTTTGACCTCACTCCTGTCCTAGTCCTTCCACAGACTGCCACATACACTGACTCAATTGGTGTAGAGTTTGGAAGTGATTTCACAAAGGTCAGTGACATGTTTGAGAAATGTAAATAGCTGTTCTTCTCGCTTCTTAACACAAATACCATGTTTTTAAAATCTCAGCAATTACAGAGGAGTGCTGCAAGAGTAGCTTTTCTCAATGGGCACTAATTTCAGCGCATGAAAGAGAAGTGATTTTCTATCTAAAGTGGTTCCCAACCATCATCCCTTAACTGTGGCTTGTGGAGGTTGAATAAATTTACAATTCAGTTTACATATCGTTTTACTGACCAAGAAGTACTGAGAATCATGGATATTTATTTTGTTTTTTGCTTCAGTTGTTTTTTTTTTTTTCTGGGCAGCTCAGATTGTTGGTGTAGGGGTATAGTTCTGGATGTGGATGTATGTCAGCTTTACAGTGACATACCACGTTTGAGTTATTATTACAGTCTATATAGCAGTGGGTATAGCTCAGGCCACAGCTCTACAAAGTGTGATTAGTGACAGCTAAGCTTTTCTGGTGAAGTTGCAGAAGTGGTAGTCCTTTCCTCCCTTCACTCCGCACACACTGGTCTATTGAGGAATTGATAGTTCAAACGCCCCATGGCTTCTCTTAAACTCCCTCAGGCCACTGGGCTGGAAAATATCTGGGACTTTTATAAAAAGCTGACACAAAATAAAAGCGCTCTTGCACTCTAACACTGCTTTTCAGCAAAAAAGTATTCAAAACTAATTTTAGCCTGTTTTACTACAGCCTTCACTCTTACCCAGGCCTTCTCATTTTTAGATGGCTATTACTATAAAACTTTTTAGTGCCCAAAATTGCTAGCTATGAGTAGTTTTGAGGGGTTTCTTGTTTACATATTTGCCACTGTAACTGCCATACTTTACAAGACCTTTTATGTATAATCATACTTGGGTTATTTAACTCATGGGCACAAAGCAATCGTGCCATAATTTAAAATACTATTTGTAATTGCAGAGGAAGATAGTATTGTCACAGGCTGACTTTATGTTCCTGAATAACCCCACTCCTGTTTTATGAGATGATTGTGTGACTAATATGAAGCCAAATAATTAGCAACTATTACTCATACCTCTCTTACCCATTTCTCTTGTTTGGGCTCATAGAATAACATTTGCTTTGCTCCAGAATAACATTTTAAATATATATATTGGCACTTCTGACCTCCTCTGGTTAATGAAACAGTTCAGCCATAGGTTTAGCAAATCCATACAACAAATCCATATGAAAATCAATGCACTCTTGGAGGCAGATTTTTGATGTGGCAACCCCAGGAAAGAAAAATCTTCAATGAATTATCTAAAAACCTGGTAAAAGTCCTCCTGCATAACACCATTACTGCCACTGGTTGTGACTTATTTCATGCATTGAATTTCATGCCCGCCAACGTGATAATGTCCCAGAACAGAATTAGAAGTTAACACCAGCCTCACTCCTGACATTATTTGAGCTCTCTATTCTCTTTAATACACTGTGGTCCTTTCAGGTGTTCAGATGTGAATGAGGAAATACCTTTGTGCACCAGAAAGTCTCGTTAAAACAGCCCCAGTACAGTACGGTCACCACATATAAGTGTGACTAATGACTTGGCTCCCACGCTAGGTCGCTCTTTATTTTCTCATCTTTCTGTAGCTTCCTCACCCCTTCCTCTCCTCCCTCTTCTTCCTCCTCTTCCTTAGCCCTTTGATTTTGTAGCATTAAAACTAGACTCAAAGGAGCGCACGGTCAGCTAAGTGTGAGTAACTGGCCTGTGATGCATGACTATAGACGATCCAAATAATGAGTCAATTAAAGTAAATTATACATGTTTAGTGTGGCTGCAATTACTCTGCTTCTATCGCTCTACCTTTTTCTGCACACTCTTTTGTAGATGCTATTTTCTTTAGTCTCCCTCTCTCTCTCCTGTTTTGTCATCCCCCTGCCACCCCTGTGTCCTACTTCTCAGGGTCTCATGGTGAGTCTTTGTCTAATTACCATGCTAGCATTTAATTGGAACAGCGTACACAAACACGCGAGTGACTGACTGAGTAGGGCGCTTTGCATAGACACACAACGCACTAATGCAGCTGGCCCATTGGATACGCATTACACACCCAAGTTAACACGCTCCAGTTGATCTAATACACCATAGTAATACAAAGTACACACTGAGGTTAGGTAAAGTGGATTCAGTCCAGGTTGTACAAACTGAAGGCATGTTTGTGACAGTCAAATCTGATTTTGGTCTTGTTATCTGTGACTGTAGCTTCTTACTTTGTTGTTTGTTCTCATAAAAACAACAAAAGAACAAAACAAACAACGGTCATGGAACCTTTTAGCCAAAAAAAAAAGAAGACTGAAATATTTTCATTATGGATGTTTTCATTGCACTAATCCCTTAAAAACATGCTTCATTACTGTGAGTGAGTGGGCTTGCATCCCCACGAACTTGATAGATGTGGCCTGGAGGAAGGTCTCCACCTTCTTTTGCCTGAGTATTTTATTGCTTTGCTCTGTGGTGAATGTTCTGAAGTATGGGTTGACTTTTTCTATTTCCATGTTGTGTTTCCAGTGTTGCTCACTCAGTGTTTCTCAAAGTATTGACTTTTTTTACTGCCTTTTTGTATATGTTCACAAAATATAGTTAGCTTATTATCTTATTAGGAAGAATTTTAATGTCTACTGTGCTTTGTGTGGCAGGATGTAAGTGTTTGTTGAATACCGTGTACCTGACCTATGCACCTGTTTGTCATTTTTTCATGTTTTTCTCTTTAATTTGCTCTTCTCCTCAGTGCTGCCCAGCCATACATGTGGAACCCCGGGCCTCATCCCAAACGGAGTGATCCACGGCTCGCGCTACAACATCGGGGACAAGATCCGCTACAGCTGTGAGTCGGGCTACGTGCTGGAAGGACACAACATCCTCACATGTATTGTGTCAGCTGGCAGCGGGGCTCAGTGGGACTTCCCCTCTCCATTCTGTCGAGGTAAAAGACCTGTCATTTGTATGGACTGTTAGAATGAGCCAGTGTCCCCTGAGTGAGAATCAGGCCAGGACAATAACCCACATGTTTACCTCTGCTCATCTGTGCGTTTAGTGTCAACAGTATAGATTGTATTCATCAACTTTACTGTATTTACAAACCATTCGGAGAGCCTGGTTTCGGGGTTGTGTTTATGAATGCATTATATTGCTTTCAAACTTGGAGTTATTAGCTATATTTTTAAATAAACCTAATGGAGCTCAGGGTTGAACATCAAAAAGCAAATGTTATAGGAAAAGTCTAATCACAGCCCAAAATGTCACTTGAGATACAGTATATTAGCCAAAATAATATAAGAAGTCAGCCCTGGACAAACCTGATAAGCTGCTTGATCACGAAGGATATTGAGTCAAAACACTTTTGATTAAATGTTTTAGAACGGTTTCGAGTTCAGAACTTAGCATTATAAAATCTCCATTAATTTAATATTAGCTTAACTGAAAATTCTATGAGATGAGACGATAATTCCAAGCTCTATTATGTTTTAGAATGGAATTGTTGCAAAAAGTTCTAGCTGTTATCTTCAGTGTGCTACAAATCAGACCCACTGCAGACCACTATATCAATAACAGTATATATTATAGAATAGAGATTAGATCCGAATACTGTAGTGTACCTCATGATAAACACTTACTGAAGATTGCAGGTTGAGGGAAAGAGAGAGTTGTTAACATATTGAGACCATTAAAATAGTTTGGTTCATGGGAATAGAGCGACCTTATATGGAGGTCACAGTCAAGGGATATACGTGAGACCGTGGTATATTGATTATCCTTAAAGCACAGCGAGGCCTGGCCATAACTACAACCACAAATCATTCTTTAAAAAAACAGATGGGCTGAAAAATCCTCAAGCAAAGCCCTTCTAATGGTTCATTAGTTTCCACAGGAAAACACAGCATCCCAGTTTACACCGCCAGGCCCAACTGAGGGAGCTGCTCCGTACAAGCGTTCAGGAGAAATACTTCAGCAAATGCCTCTTATAACATTTGTTTTAGGGTGTCCTTTTGTCTGGTACATTCTGTCTCTTTACCATCTGAACAAGCTAACAAGATGTACTGTTTTGAAAACCAACTTATGTAAACTAACTTATGTATCCATAAAAAGCATATCAAATGAGATATTTTTTCTTTACAGCATTAAGGACTAAATATTTGTGGTTTCAGATGTCTTTGGTGCTTATTAAATTTGAGCCTTTATGTGACACTACATTAAATAAATGCTATGATAAAACACATGGGTAGAGCTGACATCCTAAACATCTTCTCCTGTTCCTCTTGTCGTGTGTCTGGTAGCTGAGGGGGCATGTGGCGGGACATTACGAGGCACAGCAGGCTCCATCACAAGTCCAGGATACCCCACAGAGTACGACAACAACCTGGACTGTACCTGGTCCATCCTCGCTGAGCCGGGGGACACCATTGCTCTGGTCTTCAATGATTTTTTTTTAGAAGACAAATATGATATCCTGGAAATCAGCGGGACAGAAGCACCCAGCATATGGTAAGGTCAATTTCACTCATGGTCAGATATAAAAGGGAGCAATAAACAAACTAGACACATGTGATATGATTCACAAATAAAATGAGCTGAATCAATGTAAACATTCAGCCTCACACACATATAGTCTAAGCATGTGACACACTCACTACTCTTCAGGATTGGCCTTGAGGCTTTGCTTTTCTTTGGTTGACTTCTTCACTTTGCACACAGCAGCTGTTTCCACGTCTTCCAACATCAGTGAGAAATATTCATATTAAAGCCAGAGCAGGCGTGTTGAGGGGACAGATACTAATACTGATTGATGGGTGGTTCAGAGAAGCTGTTGATTTTGAAGATTTATTCTAATCCCACAGGGGACGGGATAAATGATTGTGTTTTCTTTCCTTTTATTGGCTTCTTCTTATCACTTTGTACCTGCAAACACAATGTGAATGTTGAACACAGTCCATTAGATTATCGCACTTTTTTTAGAACTGATTTTGTTCTAAAGAGCATAAAAGAGGTGGGATATTTTATTTGACAATATTCATTCACACCAATAACCAGTGGGTACTGTAAAAATCAAATAAAAAACATGATAATTCATAGTATCACTTCTAATATCCATGCTCTACAGTGTAATTCAGTTCAACATTATACTGTTCCTCCCTAATATTGTCTTACCTACAGGCTTTAAGAATGTGTGCTCTTTGTGTTTTTGTCTCTTACCGTAAATACTCTGCAGTTCTGTCAAAGCCCTGATTTGTCTGTTGTCATCACGCGTACAAAATGGTGATTGTGGGCAGCTTGAGGAGCAGAATGGATGCCCGGACAGATAAATAACTCAAGTGAAGGAGGTGTGGTGGAGCAGATGGAAACAAAGGAATAATGGCACGTTTAGTCCTGTCATGAGGCGAGCTTATATACATGAGCAGAGGCATTCTCACAAGGCTGTGTGTGTGTTTGTGTGCGTGTGTGTGTATCTGTATATGTCTCAGCTCTAAGTGCCCTCCTCTCTCTCACATGTCCACACTCCTGTCTGTGTGACAAGACTCAAGGACCATTGTCGGCCCCTCCTCTGCAATGCAGGGGCAGATGGGAGTGTGCTGCTGTGTACACCCAATGAGCGTGTCACATATAAAGTCTATCTGCCATGGCTTCTGTTGTTGCATTGCCTTAACAATTTCTCACTGTCACATATATAAATGCTTAAAGTTTAGGCTATTCAAAACAGCTGAGTGCTTAAATGTTGTATATTAAAACTGGTAACGAATGATTTTAGATTCAGTCAGTTATTGCAATCATGTGTAAATAGCTGTCTCTGAACTGCCATGCTTATTTTTCTATGTATTTTCTCTTCAAACTGTTGTAATTGTCTGACTACCACAGAGAGGAGTACTGAATGACTAACTTGTGACTTTATATAGAATTTAAATTATAAACATTTATGGAACTGAAAAAAGTAAATGGCTAATGTGTGAATTGAGTTAGACTAACAGTAATTATAAGGCAACTCTTCCAGACAGACCATGGCAAAGGTATTTCTTATGGCAATTTCCCCTTCAGATAAGAGCATACATCTAATAGATTGTGTTAAACCCAAATGGATTTGTGCCAGCAGATCTATGAGACCTAAGTACATTTCTCCAGAGGAGGGATTAGGCCATGATTGACATTTTCACTGAGGCTCAGGGGCAGGTCATTGTAGCAGTGACTGACACCTGACAGGACCACTCTGACGGCTTCTTCCTGTTTACCAAGAACTTTCTCTGATTGGCTGTCCCAGAAGCAATTTCCTGTTTCATGTTCCTGTCTGTTAGCTGACAGGTTGAATGTCAGGTTGAGTATTCGTCACATATAACCCCCTCTCTTGCCCCACTCAACACACATAAACACAAAAATGGAATTGATATTTTCCCCATATATTCGCATTGTTATTTTCTTCATGTCAGAGTATGTTATGTTCACCTTCTTTGTCCTTTAATGTATGATGTTGTTTGTTACACACTATGTCTTATATCAATACTAAAATAACTTCAGTAACAGTAATTAACACTGACATATATTCACTGAAATCTGCATGTTGTTGTGTCACTGTATTCCAGTGCTGTTATACATCTAATCTAGCTACAACCTATGATTATAGATTGCCTGACCAGCCAGTCCCCTCTACATTTCTGGAACCAGACAATAGAGGTGGAAAATCCTCTGTCCAAACTAGAGATGATTCAACCACAGCAGCTCATTTGTATCACGTGTCTCTCAAATGTGGAAAAAAAAAAATTCTCTCAACATTCAGATGAAAATATATAACTTCATAACTCCTTTTACCTGAGATAAATAATTTAGTTCAGTTTAGTTGATTCAGTTGTTGATTCTGTAAAACTCAATGCAGTTTTCTGTCCTTTATATATGTATGTGTATGTATGTCCCACACATACACACATATATAATTAAAGATTATTTTCTTCTTTTCCATAAACTGACTGTGACCCGAAATGTGAAATCTCTCTGCCCAGCTTATCTGTATGGTCCAAGTGCAACAGCCCTGTGTTCTTCTGCAGCCTAACCTGCACCTCTCTGCTGTCTTCTCATTCCACATGTATTCTCATCTTCTCTACTGTGTTGTGCACTCTAACTCTCCCTACAGCTATCCGTACTTCCTGTCTCTTTCACTCAGCCCTCTGCTTGCTCTGTTCCTTCTTTGTCTGTCTCAATCTTTAAAAGCACAAGAAAAACCAAAAGACAGTATTTGCGCCATCATCATCTTTGGCTCCATGAATTCTTAAGCTCAGGGCCATTACAGAACATCCAGTATCCATTAATCTTATTTGCTCCTTATTACCCCATTATACTATTCATCTCAATGTTAAATCAGAAGCCATAGTTGGAAGGTGGGGGATTTTGCAGTAACATTGTACCACTAGTTTGTATGCAGATTTATAGAGTCGGTCATATTATCTTTGCACATAAAATAAGCTGTTCGCCCTCTTCTTTCCAGACCTCTACTCTAATTGCCAATTATAAAATTAATTGAGTGAAAGGGTCAGTAACCAAGTGATGTGGTGAAAATGTTAAAATAGTCTGACATTTACAAAAGTTCATACTGAATATACAAAGAAGCTAAAGAACTCATAAATTGTTTAAAGTCCATAAAATATGACAAATAATATGAAGGCTGTATCAGAGTCAGAAAGGGTGAAATTTGCTGTATCTATCCCTGCAAAGGAAAAACACAAAAAAGGATATAACTTTTTAAATGTCAGTGGCAAGGGGCACCTATCGGCCAATGATAAAGTTATTAAAAATAAGATGTATTCAGATGATTAATTGGTTTTCGTGGATTTGTTACTATTATTGTGAGGATAAAAGCATTGTCTCTGAGTTTGAGCTAACTGGAATCTGTGTGTACCATAATTTTTACATAAGTACTAGGGCTCTGAAGCACTCCTTGGAAACACATAGACTTTAACACAGTATTTAGTAGTTGCCCCCTCTTGGTGATTTTCAAGTTGCTTAACGTGGTCACAAGCCGTTCCTTGCAGTGGTGCAGAGAGCAGTGGGCCAGATGCTGTTTTTGTGCTTAGCTCCTCCAGCTCTTTCAGGGGACCCAGAGCGCTCTGAAGGCCAGATGTGAGGTGAAGGCTCTCCATCTCGTCCTGGCTCGAGCTCCAGTCTCTTTTAGTATGCGCCTCTCGCTGTGTCCCCCGGGGTGAGCGCCGGAGATGCGTCCTTACCAGATGCCACTACTACCTCCGCTGCTTTCTAAACTGCACAACAAGCTCCCACTGAGCCTCTCCTGCTGCACAATACTTTTGGACTTACTTTCTACATGGGTGTAGTCCTTTTGACACAGCAATCCCTACAGACGTAGAGCATTTGACTAGAAAAAGTTCAATGTGTGCTGTACATGTAAACTGAAAGTACATGTGAACTGAAAAAAAAAATAAATAGTTTGAATAATATTAAATAATATTGTATTCCATGAAAATAGATTAGGAATCTATACATGCGAGTAATAGAGCCTTAAAAAAACAAAAAAAAAACAAACACATTACCAAACTAATGTATAGTGTCTAAACCAGGCTTAGATATGTTTCCATGCATATACCATGCATCATGCAATAGCAAAAATGCTCATTTCCATCTGTAGAAGACAGTTACAAAACATTACAATAAAGACGACATAGAACGATAAAAGACCTGGGTTAAAATGTTCAGAGACTTGGTTTGACTTTATCTACAGTTTAAGGTGTAATTCTCTTGTTGACAGAAGAAGTCCCTTTGACAGAGAGCACAGTCTGTCTAAATGTGGTGATTCTGTGTGGTACCTCACTCTCCTTTGTAGCCCTGTTGCCATTCTCATTCACTGTCTTTAGTTTAATGCAGTCCTTCAGTGGAATAGGAGCGGGTCTGTGCTGAACTTTGATGTAAAACATGCATTTTTAAATGCACTTCTACCCCCTAAACCCCTCCCCATTGCACTGTATAACTTTGAATTACTTTGTATACATTCAAGTACATTCCCTCAGTAATGGTGTTGATCCTCTGGTGAAATAAGCCATAGAAGTTCTCATTCACATTTTGTGCACATCCCGAGGATGGCATGATAAACCTGGAGAGCAGTATGTATATGCAAACAGCACAAATGCCAAGCTAATGTCACTCTCATGGATGGAAATGACATGGATACAAGGTGAGAAAGGCCAGGCCACATCTGCATGGACCGCAGTAGGTCGGGTGTAGAATCTTATTTGTTGACTACTAATGCATTTTAACTACATTTTTAAGTTAGCGGTTATTAAAAAAGTATTTTTCCTATGTGTTGTGTTGTTCCTCTAATGCCTGAGGCATTTTTAGATAAACATGGTCAATTTCCATGTTTTTGGCAAGGATAAACCTTTCTCTGTAACTAAGTGACATGCGCTGAAAACAAGTGCTGCTCATTCTTACTTGTTTGCCAATTTAGTTCCCTCTACATTCCACATTCTCTTGTCCTCCCCTCTGTCAAAACATTTACA